TTCTACGGATAGCTTACTGCGCATGCACTGGGACTGCCCAACACTGGTGCCGCCTATAGGCGACGGCCGCGCGACGACCTGTGTGTACGGGTGCCGACTATAGGCGGCGACCGCATGATTTGTGTGTACGGCTGTTGACTATAATCGACGTGTATGCGACCACCTGTGCCGACTCACGCTGTAAAAAGAAATCTTCTGTATCGATAGAGTATCTCTTGATACTAATAGAAATGTATTCTACATACGAAAGAAGCTTTTGTTTTTTCTACTGGATACTGAAATATTTGTACGATACAAGACGCGACTATATGAAACCAGGATTATAGTACAAAATCCCTCATGAACCGTTATAAGTAATTGAAAGAAAGCGAGAGAAATTGGAAAGATTAGTGTCTAATTTTACAGTTTTGAGGTAAATTTTTAGGTTAGAAACATTTGATAAACATTTGATCATATTTGAACATTTTGTTTGAAGCTTTGTTAAAAATTTGTTTTATATAATGTTTTTTGCACCCTCGTTAGAATGTCACGGTGGAATTCAAAGACAAATCTATTTTTCAATGGATTGACTGATACAGAGTACGATTCCGAAAATGAAAACGAAAATAATTTCATTGTACACAAAAAAAAAAGGACTATATGTGATACCTCACACTCAGAAATAGAAAAGGATGACGAAGACAATGACGACCACTGCGACACATGGACTTTAAAAACTTTCGTTCCTAAAATACATCCGTTTACGGCAAAACATGCAGGGATTATACCAAATATCAGCAGATCGGCAAAAATCATTGATTATTTTGAACTTTTCGTCTCAGAAGAGTTTGTACAATATATTGCAAATGAAACGAATGATTATTGGTCAAAAAAAGAAAACAACGATATGAAGGATGTAAACAGAATAACAGTATCCGAATTGTACTGTTTTTTCGCCCTTTCATTTCTTATGACTCGTAATAAGAAATTATCCTTGGTGGAATACTGGAGTACAGACATACTTCTGCGTAGTGATGTCTTTGGAGAAATTATGGCTAGAGATCGATATTTGAAACTGTTAGAGATGCTACATTTCAACCATGATGTTACAGCTACCAGTGATCAGATATATAAAATAAGGAACATCATTGATATGCTCCGAAAAGCATTTAGCGAATCATTCTATCCCTATCAAAAATTATGCATTGATGAGAGCTTACTTTTGTATAAAGGGCGACAATGCTTTAAACAATATATTCCTTCGAAAAGAAGTAGATTTGGCATTAAATCGTTTATACTTAGTGATTGCCGAACGGGGTTTGTACAAGATATTATTGTGTATGCCGGATTATTGACCGTCAATAGCGAAAATAAGGAAATTGGAAAGTCGGGAGCAATAGTAGAAACACTTATGAAGCCCTACTTAGGAAAAGGCCATACCTTGTTTGTAGATAACTGGTATTCGAGTCCAGCCTTGTTCAATTTATTATATAACAACTACACAAATGCATGCGGAACCGTAAGGAAAAGGCGTAAAGGAATGCCGAAGATTCATGATAGACTAAGAAAAGGAGAGGCATCTTTTCGGTCATCCAAAAATTTACTAGTTATAAAGTGGGCGGACAAAAAGGATGTATACATGCTGTCTACCATGCATACATCAGAATTTACAACGGTTTCTAGCCATGGCGGAAAAAAAATTACTCAAATACCTCTCTGCGTATCAGATTACAATGATTCTATGGGTGCCGTCGATAAAGCAGACATGATAATCAGTCCTGTCAGTTCAACGCGCAAATCTTTAAAATGTTACCGCAATTTTTTTTTCCATTTATTAGACATATGCGTGTGGAATGCGTATTGTCTGTATAAACATAAAATCCAAGAAGCCATTTCTATGGCCAAGTTTCAGTTAGAATTAATCCGGGAAATACTGGAAAAATATCATAAGACTATTAATTATCATCAGCGAACAGCCAATAATAATCCATTACGATTGATAGAGCGACATTTTCCTTCATTCTATGTACCAGCTGGAAAAAACCGAAAGAGAAGGTGCGTTGTCTGCAGCGCAAACAACAAAAGACGCGAGTCTAGATACGAATGCCAAAATTGTAATGTAGGTCTCTGCGTCGACCCTTGTTTTAGAATTTATCATTCTCAATTAAGTTACTAAAAATTATAATTTAATGTCTAAGTACCCCAAATTGTATTTTTACTTATAATAATATAATAGCAAAATTTGTAAATATGTAAATAACTGAATATTCATACAATATACTCATTTTCATGTTTTTCCTATAATACGATGAAACAGTTATTATGTAGCTCTTAAAAAAGTGTATATACAAGACAATCACAAAGTGGCGTTGAAAAACGTTAGTCCGAATATCGAAGACTACTGACGAGCAAAGTGCATACTTCGCGGCGCGGTGACCCGTTCAGTGGCGTCACTCCAGCGGAGCGGACTGCCGTAAGGAAAGGGTTAATTTCCAGGAGTGTATTTCAGTCCAGAGTGAAATTTTTTCACCTCTTAAACCTGGACGGCTCAAGTTGGTCTCGATATGTCCAAGAATATTTTTTGAACGAAGATATATGTATAAAACTGTATACTTATCCGGAAATAGTGTTTTTAAAATGTATGTGTTGAATATCAAACGGTGGGTATTTTGCAATATTCCCAATAACGAAAATTCCAAGCGCGAACAAATTCAATTTTTACATTGAAATCTATGAGGATCAGTTTTTTCGGTGATTATTCCTCCGTGGCAAGTTCGATTTAAAATTTTTTTTCTATGTCCATCTGGATGTACATACGCATGTGCGTGCAAAATTTGATGAGAATTGGTTGAGTGGTGCAAAAGAAAAACGCGGACAAAGAAGTTGCAAAGTATAAGAGCTTCGCTCGCCTTCGGTTAGCTCGCTCAATAAAACTTAATTAATAAATTTATAGTACATCGATAAATTATTTTCTTAAAAGCTAATATAAAACATAGGTAATGAATAAAATTACTACGTATAAAAAAAATAAAGTATTATTATTCCAAAGGAAATTTTATTATCTTTATATTTATTTTTTATGCTCGAGTAAGTGCGCAAGTCAACAAGAGAGTAGATTATTTCTTCAAAATATTTTAGTATACATGGATTCATGAAGAACTTTCAATTATTCTGTAACTATATAAAATAATGATGATTGTTCAAGTGATTACAATTATTAGTGTCATTACATATCGTGATTGAATTTTTCAATCAATATAAAACGAAGAATGTCCATGAAGGAAATGTAACAGCAGTCATGCAACATTGTTCGTCTATTACATCGAAGAAAGACGATACAACTGTCACGATAATGGAACCAGGGATAGTTACACTATCGTAATTCTGATTAAAGTTTCTATATTTACCGACATTCATGAAATATCTTTTTTCATGAATACATTTATGGAATTCGTTCGACGCAGATGAAATAAATCCTTCAATTTCTACTTTGAACTATTTATATTTACTGTGACGAAGGTAAATATATTCATTTTTGTGTAATCTTTTTTATAGGGTAATGGGTTTATTTTTTGTACCTTATTTCTCTTCGTTATCAAACAAATATGACTGTCTTTTTAGTTCCTATATAAATAGGAATGAATTTCTTGTGATAAAAATTGCGACGTTTGGTCAATGGCGTAACTAGCTAGGGACCATGATGAACCTAGTTTTTTCTAATGTGTGAAGTAGTTTTTTATATGTTGTGTGAGGAGTGTAGATTATAGAATATCTCATGTATTTGTAATTTAGAAATTTTTCAGTGTCAAAGATTTGAATTTCTGAAGTCAAATTATTATATTTCCAAATTTCTGCATTTGTAAATTTCCAATCTTCTACGTTATCGAATCCTTAGATTATCACATCCTCAAATATCCAAATCTCTATATTATCAAATCCCAGTTGAGTAGTTTAGAAATTGGAAAGAGTGCAATTTGGAGATTTCGTAGTTGGGGGATTGAATTTTGGGATTTTGGGATTTGGAGAATTTGGAGAATTGGAAGCTGAGGAATTTGGGAATTGGAAAGAGTGCAATTTGGGGACTTGGAAGTTGGGGGATTGCACTCTTTCCAATTTCCAAACTCTTCAACTTCCAATTCTCCAAATTCCCCACATCCCAAAATTCAATCCCTCAACTACCAAATCCCTAAATTGCACTCTTTCCAATTCCCAAACTCCTCAACTTCCAATTCTCCAAATTCCCCAAATCCAGAAATCCCAAAATTGAATTCCCCAACTGTCAAATCGCCAAATTGCACTCTTTCCAATCCCCAAACTCCTCAACTTCCAATTCTCCAAAGTCCTCCAATTCCCAAAATCCCAAAATTCAAACCCCCAACTATCAAATCCCCAAATTCCACTCTTTCCAATTCCCAAACTCCTCAACTTCCAATTCTCCAAATTCCCTAAACCTCAAATTCCCCAAACCCCAAAATCCCAAACTCCCAAAATTCAATCCCCCAACTATCAAATCCCCAAATTCTCAACTCCCCGCCTTCTAAAACCTTAAAATCCTAAATATCCATACTCCCAAACCTAAAAACGCCACTCTATCATTATCTACCGCTATCAATAAATCTCTGGTGGTCCCAATCCAGTTTGCAGAAAAATTACGTCAATGAGTTCCACGAGAAAGGGTGCAAAAACGTTTCGACTGACAAGATCGTAACACAAATTACGAAATTGCGAAGTGTCCAGTGTGCGGAGCAGAGGGGATACAGACTTGACGTCGGCTCTCGAAAGTTGCGTGCACGTTCAGCGAATGACTGTCGTAATTAATTAAACAAACGAACGTAGCTGGCGGGCTTATCGAACATCAAAGACGAGAAATCGCGAGTAGGATGAATGGTAGCCCGCCGCTAAGCCGGCTACAGTAGTAATCCAGTGCAACGACGTGCGGTATCGCACAACAGAGTCATGTCACCGGTTGAAACTCTACTCTTCCTGGCGATTGTTCTAGTGTCAGGTAAACGATGTCACGTGGATCTTTTTTTCACGTTTGGAGTGTACGATTGGTTGTAGTGACGAAGTGGGAATTTGGTGGACGCGATTTTTTTAGGGAGGCGCCATGGGGGATTAATTTGCGAATTGCAGAATATTTTATGTTGAGGATTTTTTAATTATAAGACTCTTATTTTCAAATTATAAGATTATGAGATTCTTTCATTTGAGAATTTTTGAGCTAATTTTTGGATACTCAAACTCTTGAATTTCGGAACTTCTATTTCAGTTCTTGAAGTTTTACTGTTTTTTTCATGTTTAGAAATTTACTTTCTGAATCTTTAAGTTTGTAAGTTTTCAAGTTTTATGAGTTCTATAGCTTCAGAGACTGCAATAGCCTTGATTATTCGACTGAAATAATTTCTGAATCAACAAATTTAGGAATTCTTGAATTTTAGTATTTCTAAGTGTCAAGTGTCTTTATTTTCCCAAATTCTAAAATTCCCAAATTCCTCAATTTCGAACCCACAAATTCACCGAATTACAAATTATCAAAACCTCAAATCCAGAAATTCCCTAAATTACAAATTTCCATAATCCCAAATTCACAAATTCGCAAAATCATCTCATTTTTCCAATGCTTCAAATTTCTTTAGTTCCAAATCCCCAAAATTTCCAGTTCTTCAAATTCCTTAAATCCTTGAATCCTCTAATTACTCACAACCTTAAAATTCCCAAAATCTCAAATTCTCCAATCTCCCAATATGTAAAAATTTTTATAAATTTTGCATCCCCCAAATTTTAATTAAACCGTGGTTGCAGCGTACGCGTATCCGCAGAATACATTCTTGAACGATGTGGAGACGGTCATCAAGTCTGTGTTCAAGGTTCACCGTGAACCAGCTACCTTCAATTTGTACACCAGGTATGTAGAATATAATCAATTTGTCTCGAGTCAATTTCAAATTTCATAAAACATATTACTTATACAATTTATTTCAAACTTCATAAAACAGAAATTATTTATTTATCTCAAACTTCATAGAACAAGATTTATTTGTCCAATTAATTTCAACTTAACAAAAAGAACTGAAATAAATAATCATGTTCAACGTTTTATATTAAATTTACAACAAATGGTTGAATTTCAATAGTTCAACTTCACAGAACAAAAATTATCCAATTACTTTGAACTTTACAAAAAGAACTGAAATAACTAATCATACTTAATGTATTATATTAAATATTGAACGAATGAATGAATTTGAATAGGGAAATAAATCGAAATAAAATCGGCGGAAAGGGAAGTGAGAGAGTAAGAAGAGAGAAGTAAGAAAATTCGCGCTTCTCGTTGGTAACGCGATTCGCGTTGCAAATTTTTCGCCCGTGCAGAGCCGTCTTTATCGTTCACGTTCGTAAACGATGCATCAATTTTTTAACGATACGTGCAATCAGCAAGCCGGCAAATTCTATTCTCAGCGCTGACGCTCCACTGACTATCATCGATGCGTGAATATCGCGGACGCGCCTCCTTTTCTTATTCTTTTTGCACTGTGTTGCCTTCTTCTGTCGATCGACCCGATCGAATACGGGGAGGAAATCGAAGCGCCACTAGAAACGCGTCAAGCATTCGTTTACTCGATCACTATCACTTTTATTACGCGTTTTATTCAAACTTCTCAATCATATTTCTATTCCTCGTATATTCAATGTTATGTTTAATGTTAATTTTATATTTATGTTTAGGTTTAAATGTTATGTGGATTTTGGGGTTATCTTCAAATTTCACAAGTTGCAAAACCCCTGAATTTCCATACGTTACAAATGTATCTTTCCATAGCTTTTCAATTGTTAATTTCAATCTTCCTAGTTTTTCAATTCTAAATTTCCAAATTTTCAAAATCCCAATGTCTCTAAATCTCAACATTTCTAATTCCTGAATTCTTATATCCCCGAATCCGCAAATTCCAAAATTCTTAGAACTCTAGAATTGTCAAATTCCAATGTTCCCTAAACTCACACTTCTTAGAATTCTATATTTTCAAATCGGTGAACCCGAAATTCCAAAATTCCCAAATCCTAAAATACCAAAATCTCAAAATCCCCAAATCTCCAAATACCTAAACCTCCAAATCTCAAAATCCCAAAATCTCCAAATCCCTAAACCTTCAAATTCCCGAAATCCCCAAATCTCTAAACCACCAAATTCCAAAATCCCAAAATTACCAAATCCTCAGATCCCAAAATCCCTAAATACCCAAATCCCCAAATCCCTAAACCTTCAAATTCTCAAAATCCCCAAATCCCCAAATCCCCAAATCCCTAAACCTCCAAATCTGCAAATCAGCAAAATTTCTCCCAAAAAAATAACTAATTTTCCCTCTTCTGTTTCACAAAGAGAAAATCCATTCGGTGAAGAGCAGTTATTTCTGAACAACACCGAGGTTTTGTACGCATCGCATTTCAACGAAAGTCGTCCAACGAAGTTCGTCATTCACGGATACAGCGACACCGGAAACGAAGCTTGGGTACGAGGTTTGATTGATGGTATGCAAATACGAGTATGTATATCGTTTTGCTGCTTACGACGTTTAGATAAGGAACAGAAAAAGAAGCGGAAGGAAATTGTGTTATATCGTGCGCATAGGAACGCGAATACAATTTAAAAATTATAACATTGACTGTTTTTTATTCTTGTTGAAATATTGGTATCGGTATTTCACGCGCAGAACACGACGCAAAAAATATATATCTTAATTTGAGCAAATTTTTTTCTTATTGTAAACAACGTAATCGAGTTAATCGCGTTAAATGCCAGATTAAACTTAGATTTTTAATTAATTTCTGTGGTTATTGAATAACGCAATTTCCATGACCAGATAATACTGTTGGTCAGAAGTTTACACCATTTTGTGATTTATAAAAAATATCCTCATTTAAGTGAACAGAAATTTTCTTTTAAATATTAAAATTATAGTATGAGAATTAATCAAGTAATTGGAGTAACAGTAATTTTTACTTTGAAGAAGTAGTTGAATACTGTACAGAAATAAAATATCTAAATCCATGTTAAAAATATTTGGTATTCTCGTTTCCGGTTGCGAATTAATGGAAGAACAACGCGGGGGATTTTCCTGAAATTTCTAGAAATGTCGACGACGAGGAACGAGTGAAATTTAATTACAATCAGGGTCAATCCGTTTCGGTAAACACGGAATCGACGTCGCCAGGTTCAAGGGTCACCACCGATAACAACTTAATTGATCATTTAACAAGTTTTTGCTCTCGCGCTAAGCTCCTGACGTAACTGTGAGAAATTTTGATTTAGAATTTTTCCAAGATCCTCCGTCGTACACCCTTTGACCCCCTGGTGAACCAGTGACGTTCGTAGACGAATAGAAATATATCTTCTATTGATTCTTTGCTCGCGTGTTTCGTGATGAAGGAACTCCTTACTTTAATTGTTCAAGGACGTTTACTACGAAAAGTCGATTGTTTGAATAATTTTTGGAATATCAGGTAGTCAAGATATTGGTGATATTTTTTTTCAATAATTAATATACAGGTTTTCCTGAGGTGAACATATGTACTTTGCATATACAACTTGCATATGTGATTTCCATATGTAACTTGAACTAGACAATAATATATATTATTCAAGAAAGAACCATGTTGACAGACATACAAAAATATAAATACAAAACAGTTTATTTATTACAAAGTTAAGCTATTTATATTTTATATAATATTACACAATTTATATTATAAAATATATATATAATACATTGCATGTATATTTTTGAGTTGTGGCACTTATAGATTTGAATGTATCTTATAGAATGTATCCTATATATCCTATGAGAGTAGGTCATAGTAATAATAGAATTTATTGATCCTCCCACAAGTAATTAAATATGTAAACTTGTTTAATTGCAGCGTATCTGCTTCACGAAGACGTGAACGTGATCGTCGTAGGATGGGGAGTTTTGGCCGCGGATATATATCCGGTGGCTGCGAACAACACTCGTCGCGTGGGGGAATTTCTTGGTGATTTCCTAGAATTTTTAAATCGTGAATCGAATTTGGAATACAAGGACGTACATATCAGTGGACATAGTTTGGGATCGCACGTGGCTGGATTCGCTGGTGCTTACTTGGAGGGACGCATTGGTAGAATAACAGGTATACACATCATAGTGAGAGTTTTATAAATTATTTTGATTACTTGTGTGTCGTTTTAGATGTTATTTGTTGCTCTTAGTTTTGACAATTTATGGGGAACGAAATTCTAATATGTTAAATTTGTTAGACGTGTTGAATGTATTAAATGTAGTACATGTGTTATATGTGTTAAATATGTTAAATATGTTAAATATGTTAAATATGTTAAATATGTCAAATCTTCCAAATCTTTCAATTCTTTCAAATATCTTAAATTTCTTATATAGCTCAAATATTTCAAATATCTCAAATTTCTTATAAAGCTCAAATATTTCAAATATCTCAAACGTCTCAAATATGAAAGTTATTACTGATCTATAGAGTCAATCAGTTTCATTCAACCTATTGATGAATAGGTTTGTATATTCGTATTTTTAATTAATTGTAAATATAATTTTTAAGGTCTAGATCCAGCCAGTCCCCTGTTCGAGACGATTTCCGGCATCGTTGATCCAGAATTCAGATTAGACCCAACAGATGCACAATTTGTGGATGTGATCCACACCAGTGGTCCTGCGTTCGGATTTTTAGCTCCTCTAGGTCATGCAGATTTTTATCCTAATAATGGCAGGTTTCCTCAGCCTGGGTGCTCGTTCTTGCCAACTACAAGTGAGTATCTCTTACGTATTAGGTTGTATTTTCCTAAAAATAGAAAATCACACGAGATTCGATAGCATAAGTATTGATAGAAGTATACGTTTGTATAAGTTTGAAGTTTAAAGTTTTATGAAGTATAACATTTATTAATCTTGCTGTAACATAAAATATAATATGGTTGCCATTATTTGGACTATCTATTAATAATAAATACAATCTGCTAATAACATAAAGTAAATTATGGCTGCCATTATTTGAACTATCTATTAATAATAAATAAAAACTGCTAATAATAAATGATATTTACTCAACCTACTTATAATAAATATTTACACAAGCTATACCTATCACCCGATAAATAAAAGCTATATTTAACGCGTTGGTTGCCACCGTGACAATTAATACGAAGTTCATTGTATATGATAAGATACATAATTGAATACATTGTTCCCCAATATTTGCGAACCAGTTGCGATTAAAATAACATCGGTGAATTAGCAGCATAAATCACCGATGACTACAATGGCAGTCAACGTGTTAATCAATTTTTTGCGATACTCGACAAAAAGAAGTGTTTAAATGTTTAGCCTACTGTAGCCATTCACGAGCACATCAATTCATGACGGAGAGCATAGGAAGCACGGCTGGTTTCAAGGCTAGAACTTGCGAAAGCTGGGAAAAATACAAGGAGGGACATTGCGATTACAACCCCATTGTTCTTATGGGAGAATATGCTTCCACCTCGTAAGACACATTTCTTTATATTTATAAATCATTTGTAGGACTAACTGATTGATAAGTCAAACTTAAAATTAAAAAGTCAACAAGTCTTCCATAATTTTATTTCAAGCAATTAATTCTTATTTTCTTCATACTTTATTTCAATTAATTATATTGCATTTTTATAAAATTTCTTTTCAAACAATTAACTACAATTATTGGCATGTAAGGTGTCTGTTGTTCAAAAGGTATTTTTGTAATTTATATACAATGCAACTTTCGCAGGAATATTGCTTTTAATAGCAAGGTTCATTGTGTACTTTATATTTAAAACAGTGTATTTTAAGAAGTAATTCAGAATATGATTCAACATTTTTTATCATTCAATTTTAAACTGAAATTCGTAAGAGAAGTATTGTGACAATTTAATGTATCAGAAAAATGTAAAAACAATGGTTTAACGTGGGCGAATGAATTTAAACAGCTGAAAGTATTTTCAAAAATTTATATTTTCGCGCGCTTTTTGGCAAAAGGACTACTAGCGCCCCCTGTCCGTCAAACGGGGTGAACTACACTAGTTTGGGACAGGCCTTTCGTTAGTTCCTCATTCTGCCGCTAGTTGGCGCTGGTGGCGATAAATGCGCCATCTGGTGGCAGAATAAGGAACTAACCAAAGGCCTGTCACAAACTAGTGTAGTTCATCCTTTCCGACGGACAGGGGGCGCTAGCAGCCCTCTCTTGAGAAAACGCGCGAAAATACGAATTTTTAAAATATAAATACGTCTGATCTCTTTTAAAATATATTTTAATATATTCTGATTTGAAGCTTTCTAATGCTTCATACTACTTAAATTAACATAAATTAACTATTATATCATCGTTTATAATATACTATTATCTTTTATATAATTTTTATACATATATATGTCCTTGTCTGAAGGAAGCCTATCTTGCACCTGAGTATAAATAATTTGATTACTGTATCATTGTTACATTTATTTTTACTATTATTCTACTATTATTTGTAACGTAAAAATTTTTTAATAATTTGTTATTAATTTGTTACTAATATGTCACGTCCACAGTTTCTAAAGTGTTTTTTCTTGTTACAGGTTGCGAGGAAAATTTTATCTATCAACGAACGACGCTCCTCCATTCGCGATAGAATAAACGGTTCGAGAAAACGATATCGGCAAACCTGGAACGACCGTGTGATGGCGATCGTGATTTTCACGACATCAAAATGATCAGTACTAGTCATTTACAAGTTACTCCTTATTTATGCAATGTGCGCAGGTTTATTCGAACCTTCTGAATCAAGAAAAAGAACGAACGAGATTGAAGTCGATGGCGAAGCGCTGTCGTTTTATGTCGTGCATAGAAAGTACAAATTATATTAATTAACGTGGTATACTTAGATAATAACTCTCTCTAGCTCTCTTTCTCAATGTCTCTCTCTTATGTTCGTGTAGAAGGAACAGTAAATAAATGTTATTGGTTACTCAAATTTTGTCCTTTTCGATATAACATACATACATACATACATGAAGATATACATATATGATTTGCATTTATCAAATTTACAAAAGAAATGTACAAATATTAAAATATTGACTCCTCTAATAAAATATACAATACCTTTAATAACTTATAATAGTTACAATATAACTACAGCGCTGAAATAAAATATTAATGTAGACACAAAATATTCATGAAAAATATCGACGCAAGAATAATCAAAGTTCCCGAACGATTCCACAAGAAATAACTATCGTGCGATGAATCGTGTGCTCCTGTTGTTTCTCCAAATCTTACAATTCAATATTATTTATTGCACAAATGAAAATCATGTTATCCGTGATTATTTCGCGTTTAGAAAAGTGGAGAGGATTGTGGGCTTCTCTTGCGACGACATGGAAAGTATGTACAATTTCCTTCTATAACTTCATTTAATTAATCCTTACGCTTTTACAAATAGATGACTTTAACCTCGCGAAAACACTGAACGAAAAGTACACCACGTATATTTCAATGTTGAATTCTACTGTTGAATCTCGTTTGGATGTGAAACAGATTTTGAGGGCTGAGTATCATCGTTTAGGTGTCTTTCTGGATTCTAGGTGCGATAGTGAACGTTATGCTAAAGTTGTAGCCGATGTAAGTAGAGTGATTCAACATTTTTGGGTTTATTAATCATGTGAGAGAGATTGCAGTAGACTCTCATGTCTGATGCATAGAAATTCGATGGGTGGCGATATAATGCGTGGTAATATAGCGCGAGGGAATTTTTACGCGTAGCGATTCTAACGCGTTGTAATTCAACGCGTAGCAATTCTAACGCGTGGTAATTCGACGCAGAGCAATTCTTACCCGTGGTAATTCAACGCGTAGCAATTCTTACGCGTGGTAATTCGACGCGTAGCAATTCTAACGCGTGGTAATTCGACGCAGAGCAATTCCAACACGTGGTAATTCGACGCAGAGCAATTCTTACGCATGGCAATTCGACGCAGAGCAATTCTAACGCGTGGTAATTCGACGCAGAGCAATTCTTACGCGTGGTAATTCAACGCGTAGCAATTCTAACGCGTGGTAATTCGACGCATAGCAATTCTTACGCGTAGTAATTCGACTCATAGCAATTCTAACGCGTGGTAATTCTACGCAGAGCAATTATTACGCGTGGTAATTCTAACGAGTGATAATTCTAACGCGAGGTAATTCGGCGCGTAGCAATTCTAACGCGTGGTAATTCGACGCGTAGCAATTCTAACGCGTGGTAATTCGAGGCGTGGTAATTCTTACGCTTGGTAATTCGACGCGTAGCAACCCTAACACGTGGTAAATCGACGGCAATATAACGAGAGTCAACCGTAATTCAATAGAACTAACATACTGATCCAACGCATACAGGCTGGGAAATATTTCATGTACGACGAGATGCACAAATGGCTGATCATAGGCTCAAACCTGAATCAGACACTGCAAATATTGAACGATGATACATTCAGTGTTTCAACGGACGTGGTAATTGCTATACCATCTCTCGATAACTATCTTTTTTACGACGTGTATAATCCGTGCAAAGATCGAGGAGGATCCATGAATGTAACATACTTCGGATCATGGAGTGAAAAGAAAGGATTGAACATTACTTTAACTCAAACGAAATTTCAGAGGAGGTCTAATCTGCATGGGATGAAACTCAGAGTTGGCTTGGTCGTAAGTTTTGGATATTTGTACAAGTGGATTAATTTCTATAATTTCACCAAGTAGACCTTTTGCACTTTTTATAACATTGAAAACTTTTTATGAAAACTATTATAAAACTTGAATACAAAGGAAATGTTTATTGATAGCATTATTTAATGCATTGATTACCACATTGAAGCAATTGAAAATTGCATCCAGTAATGTTTTAATTTTTAATAAATTTTACCAACCATTTTCACAATATCTTGTTACGTTTATTTTCCATATATCCATGAAATTAATGCGAGAATTTTTAATTAGGAAAATGAACAAATTTTTAACAATACACAAGTTACGTCAGTTTATAAACTTAAGTGTCAGCCATATATGTGTGACGTGGCAGTCAACATGTTAATTGTATAAAATTGATGTAGTATTAATTTTGCAGGTAAATATTCAAGTGGAGAACAGGTCTCTCCATGAAGCGATGTTAGAGTACTCCATGAAAACGAAATACGGTCGATCGAAATTTTTGTATATCCTCATGAATCATCTGGCTGATCTTTTCAACTTCACGTAAAAATTAATTAATTACTGATCATACGAATAGATATCTGATCATACGTAGGAGTTTCAGATATTGAATTTTGTGTATGAAATTTTGTCACGATTTTAATTTACAGTATGGACCTCGTGGAGATAAACGCACAAAGGAGATTCGATAACTCCGGCCCGGTTTTCACGGCTTTTAAAAGGAAAATTATAGACCTGTCGGCAAGTCCAGTTGCTATGAAAATCGATCGATTGACGAACGGAGATATTATTGGACCTGTCTGGCCAATACGGTATAATACTACTTCAGTACAGTTGCACCGATTGTATACATAGCTTGTTATTACGTTTTCTTAAAACTATTTCATTTTAAGAATTCAGTTTTTAAATCATTAATGTATATAACTCTTTGCTAGTTTGGCTTTTTTCATCATTTTATAAAAGATGTTAATTTCATAGTACATTAAATAATATAGAATAAATGGATCTGTTTAGATCTATCAATAAATTTATTATACATGCAGAAAGAAATGTAAACTAACAACAATCGTAATTTTATGTTTGAGTTGTATGCAATCAATTTTATATTATCATTTTAAAATTGTTTTTGTAGATCATGTTTTATGTTTCGAACAATTTCGTCGACTAAAATGAAACCCACACAGTTTCTGCAACCCCTGTCTGTAAAAGTGTGGTACGTGATGTCTGCGATGATAATAATCGTGACGACCACTTTGATCATTCTAATAAAAATCGAAGGTGTTTCTGGTCCTGCAGAGATATATGGGTTATCTGTTTTACTCACGATAGGTGCTTTATCTCAACAAGGTAATTGTGTTACTGTTCTTGAGAAATTCTATTATACATATGTATAGTAAAATATATGAAATGTAATTTTGCACTTTTGGAACGTAATTATTTTATACAGGATCTGCATTCGTCCCCGGTCGTTTCGCAGGACGCATAGCCTTCTTGCACACCTTAATTTTCAGTGTGTTGATCTTGAATTACTATTCCGCAAGTATAGTGTCCAATCGTTTGAAAAACAAGGGTGAGAAAATGAACGATTCTTTGATTAACTTGTCTAAAAGCAATATGAAGCTCGCTGCGGAACCCACCCCGTACATTCGTTCCTTCCTTCAGGTATATTTTGTATAAATATTATAAAATATAAAATAAACTTGTAATAAAGGGGTTGCAACCCCCCAAACTGTTAAACTTTGCATACTTTAAATATAAGATACTTGGTTAACAGGTGCCAGATAAAGAAGTAAGATACTTCTACGAAAATCGTTGGGCAAAGATACCAGAGTTCAACAGATATTTACCACTCGAACAGGGACTTAATCAAGTGGCAGACGGAAGTTTGGCTTACCATACTATGATCGATTCCGCTTATCCGTATATCGAACAGTCCTTCAGCTATCGAAGTATTTGTGAACTAACGGAAGTTCATCTGTTTCGTGCGATCCTGGCATTTTATGCGAGACATAGAAGTCCTTTCACTGAATTAATGAAAATAGGGTAAAAATCTTTTTTTAACAATTTTTTTTTAGATTATACAAAACAAGAAATGATGGTTTCATCATTGTTCAATCGATGTCCAAACGTTGGTATAATAGTTTATTAGATACTAACGTGAACATTTTTACAATAATTTATTTTATCGTTGGTAGCTTATTTTACTACCAACTATTAAATTAATGACAAGATAAAAAAAATAAACAAATACTCATTTTTCTAGTTTAACTAAAATTCGCAACACCGGTATCCAAAGTCGAGAATTAAAAAGATGGGGATCGAGGAAGCCATTTTGTCCAACGAATCTCTTAATCGCCGAACCCTTGTCGATCCACGAAGCAGCTCCAGTCTTCATATTTCTGAGTTTCGCCATAATCTTGTCTCTTCTGTTTTGCGCCGTCGAAAATATCGTCTACTGCCTTTCTCCTTCAAGGTATATTCTAACTTTTCAATCTTGTGATGATACACTAAGTTTAATTGATTTTCAGGAAAACAAGCGCGATAATGGAGAAACGTCATCTAATCGCTAGCAACTTGGATTTATCGTCGATGAGAGATCTTAATTTGCAGACGTTGCAAAGTTTAACTGTTGTCGAAGAATGAAGTAGTTTCAAGATACTTTACGAAGATTTTAAGATACTTTTAATAGGGCACTATTACTTAAAGTAACTTTTATAAGTTCCACATTTTGTTGGTTTCAAATTTATAGATTCTTAAATTTGTAAATTCTTATGGTCTTAAAGTGCAATGTTCCGAAATTCGCAAGGTTCGAAATTCCAATGTTCCCAAATTTCTACATCCTCGAATTTGCAAGGTTCGAAATTCCAATGTTCCCAAATTCCTAAATCCACAAATTCTCAAGGTTCGAAATTCCAATATTCCCAAATTCTTACATACCCAAATTCTCAAGGTACGAAATTGCAATATTCCCAAATTCCTAAATCCCCAAATTCTCAAGGTTTGAAATTCCAATGTTCCCAAATTCCTAACTCCCCAAATTCTCAAGGTTCGAAATTCCAATGTTCCCAAATTCCTAAATTCCCAAATTCTTAAGGTTCGAAGTTCCAATGTTCCCAAATTCCCAAATCCCCAAATTCTTAAGGTTCGAAGTTCCAATGTTCCCAAATTCCTAAATCCCCAAATTCTCAAAGTCCGAAATTCCAATGTTCTCAAATTTCTGAATCCCCAAATTCTCAAGGTTCGAAATTCCAATGCTCCTAAATTCCTATATTCCCAAATCCCTAAATTCCCCAATACCTAGATCCCCAAATCCCTAAATTCCCAAGTCCCTAAATTCTTCAATACTTAGACCCTAAATCCCTAAATTCCCCAATACCTAAATCCCCAAATCCCTCAATTCTTGACCCTCAAATTTCCACATCCCCAAAAATCCATAAAAATCAGCCCTCCACAAAACTTCAACCAAGCATTAAATTAATTTGATTGCAAACGAATTACCGAGCAGTTAGACGACACCGCACGAGCAGTTTATTCCGTTTAATTATTATTAACATGCAGCGTGCACAGAAATGTTATTTAACCAGCGGTAAGCTAACCACGCGAACGAATATATTTAAAAATAAATATCACTCCACTCCGTCAGTTAATTACAATATTGATGTTGCCGATATTACGAAAATCCGTTTTCCAATTTACCCTTATCTTCAATCGAGTAATTAATTTTTAACTCTCCATGGGATTTCCGTTGCGTTGGCAATGTGCTTTTAATGTCTAGTTTATCGTGAAATTCATATTTTACCCGACTATGTATTACTTATTGATGATTATCAAATTAATAAGCCAGAACATGCGGGAGATTAATAAGAACGTATAATAACGCTATTAATTTAGGATGCTTCGTTCGCTGTGGTTTTATGCACTTTCATTATTGTTTTTGTGTTGTGTATTATTAATTTGGTGGAATATAATATGTCATAGAGTTTAAATAAAAATTGAAAGTTGACAAATTATTACACTGTGGATGTTTATGCTAATATCATTGCGTTAATATAAAATATGTACATGTTTTCTTGAAATATTTTTCCTCTTTGGATGATTCAAAATATTATATGTATACAAATGCAGATGTAATGTTATTAAAGTCATTGAATGTAATTCTTATAACATTAATAAAAATGATCAATTATCAAAGTTATTATTAGACTAACAAATAACAATTTTTTATTAAAATATTTATGTGAATGTGGACATACGTGTTTACATAAAATATTCTCCCTCTTCAGATTCATAGAACATACATAAAAATTAAAAGGATATAAATTGTTTAACCTTCAAACATTTGTATAAATGTGTACATATATGTTTACAACAAATATTTTCCCTTTCCAGATAATATAAAATATAGTCATAATTTCTTTATAATATTGTATACATTCATTTCTCTATAATATTTTATACATTCACTATTGTAGAATATTGTATAATACTGTAAGTGAAACTAACAGTTAGTATAACATATATGCTTCAGTATATTAAAAATACATAAACCTTTGCAATTTATTTATTATTAAAGACAGTATCATATCAATATATGGAAAATAAACGTCACCGTGTCTCGTTCTCACGAAGTCCATGTCACATCAAGCAACAAGACGTGACTGAAAAATGAATGAGCTCTATAGCCGTTTCTGTACGTGTTTCGTGACTCCAGCAATTTGTCAGATTATAGGAAATTAGTTCTTTCCGAATATCAGAATACTAAATTACGATGAATTCGATGCATGAGCACAAACGTATCAAAGTAATTAGATCAAGTATACTCTACCGAAAAGCACGATTCGAGTGTCGCTAAAATCGCGAAGAATTGTTTCTTCAAAAAGGGGAGTGCTTTCTACGATGTTCTTCCCTTTTCTACTTCTGTCGCAGTTAATTTTGATTTCCAACGCACAGGATCATGTTTTTATTCGTGACTATTTTGTGCATAAGAAGGTGCGGAATGTCGTGGGATTTTCTTGCGGTGACACTATAGGTATGTCACTCTCTTTTTATTGGAAATTTAGTATTTTATTAAGATGTTGCATGGCAGCTGTTGTTTAGAGGTGACACATTTTTGGTTGAACGAAAGAATGTATTGTATTATTCTGAAATTTTGTTGATGATATAATAATAATACAGAGTGTTTCGTAACATAATTTCATGGTTTACTATGTATGGTTTACATTAGTATTAAAATTGATTACATCAATACTTATATGACTACACCTACTAAAAAATAATTATTAAAATAAAATCAGTATTCGTACAACAAGACACAATTGCAGGTGACTTTAATCTGCTCAAAACCCTAAGTACCATCGGTATATTCACTATAATACGAGAACCCAGCATGAGAATCGATTTCGTAAGATTTTTGAGGAGCGAAGCGTGGACAGTTGGTGTCGTCATCGACGTACGTTGTCTTAATGAAACGGCTGTTCGAATTTTTGCCGAAGTAAGAGACATCGTATAAAATTTAATAAAACTTAATACAATTTAACAAAATTTAATAAGGTAAAAATGAATTAATATTATACAATTTAGAGTTCGAAGCATCGAATGTACGATTATTCGTACAACTGGTTAGTGCTTGGTTCGAACTACAATAATAGTATTCCTCTTTTGAACGACACCGCGTACAATATAGTGACGGACGTTGTGCTAGCTATATCGAATAGAAATGGCTACGATTTGTACGATATTTACAACCATTGTAAATATCGTGGTGGTTTATTGAACGTTACTAAACTTGGCGATTGGAGGCAAGATTCTGGACTGAATATTAGTATCACTACTCCTTTGATTAATAGGAGGGCTAACATGCATGGGATGAGATTGAAGATATCTGGTGTGGTGAGTAGTATTAATAGTTGAAGTTTGGTGGTGGAATTTGAGAATTTGGGGATTTAAGGAATTTGAGGATTTTCGAAATGGGAACTTGGGGATTTTGGGATTTGGAGATATGGGGACTTGGGAACTTGGAGACTTAGGGACTTGGGGACTTGGGACCTTGGGGATTTTGGGATTTTGGGATTTGGGGACTTGAGAACTTAGAGATTTTGGAATTTGAGGATTTGGGGATTTGGGGATTTGAGGACTTGGGAACTTGGGGATTTTGGAATTTGGGAATTTGGAAATTTAGAAATTTAGTCATTAGAAGATTTGTAAATGTAGAAATTAGGGGATTTGAAGATTTGAGTATTTGAGAATTTTAAGATTTGAAAAATTTAAGTATTTCTAAATTTCTAAATATTTCCAAATTCGAAAATTTCAAGGTTATAGAATGTATATACATATGTTATTTAGATACAATACAGACCAAAGAACATGCGTCTCGAAGACTACATGCAGGATATTAATACAAGATCCTTGGACAGCATGCATAAATTTGTACATGCCATGATATTGCATACAGGAGAGCTTTTTAATTTTAGGTAATAAATAATACGCACTTATTACAATATGTTTCGATGTTACACTTCATGAAATAAAGCTATCTTTTGTTATTCAGTGTTCACGCTTCGGAAATAATCTACTGGGACAGGCACAGTGTACACGGTTTAATTTTTGAATTTTTAAGATCAAACTATATCGATTTTGCTAGTAATCCGAGGATCATGGTGTCTGAACGTTTGGATTTTGCTTCTCTGATTGGTGCAGCTTGGCCTATTAAGTAATTAATACAATTTTATTTCTTAAGCAACCTTTGGGTATTATAGTAAGATCAGATTTGACACTCTTAAACTTAAATTACATTTTGGATACTCAAAATTAAATAATTGTTCACATTATTTAAAAAACTACTTATTCTTTATACATAACTTTTATGTAATATAGAAGCATTAATTAAATGTTTCAGACCATGTTTCATGCTTTTATCAACCTCGACGAATAAAATCAAACTAGAGATCTTTCTAAAGCCTTTTACTCGGCAAACTTGGTACGTGTTCGCAGCTTTCGGAATATTCTCCATCTTCATCGTAAAAATGATTATGAATCGTGAGAAAATCGGTAAACGAGAGAAATATTCGGGGGCGGTGGTGCTTTCTGTAGGAATTGTAGCTCAACAAGGTGAGTGTTAAAGAATATTAATAAACATTAATCCAAATTATTCTTTGACCTCTATTCTGTGATCTCTGATTTGCAAGTTGGCTTCTATTCTATGACCTCTGATTTATAATTTGACCTCTATCCTTTCACCACTTTGTAATAATAGTGGTCAAATTCATGTAACAATAAAATACACAAAGCGAATAAAATTCAAACAAATATCATTTCGACTTCTCAAAATCACAATCAAAATCCCACATTCAACATCAAAGTCCTCCAACATTTTTGGTACCAGTATATTTGACATTAATATTCATAAATGTACAAAAGCTGACCTTTCGACCTATCTTTATTAAACCTTCTTTTAAGTACAGTATGTCACATGAATATAAATATTGAATGCTGTTCTTCCAAACATCCTCCATAAATAATTTATACTTCTTCATTTTTCGTCAGGTGCAAATTTGCTTCCAAAACGCGTTGCAAGTCGCATAGCACTTTTCCAAATAACTCTACACAGTTGGATAATGTATAATTACTATTCAGCTAGTATTGTTTCGGCTCGATTGAGCGAACCTTTAGATATGATGGAGGACTCTGTCACCGTTCTTGCTGATAGCAATCTGAAAATTGCTGCGGAAGCTGTGCCGTACTTGAATTATTTTTTATATGTATGTATTAATTGCTCTTTGTAGATTCATCAAATTAATTTTAATTCACCAACAACTACTTAACAATTATAAAATTTTAAAGATCTTAGTCATACTGTAAAAGAAAATGGACTTATTGATTTATTGATTTTGACAAATTTATTGAATTTGATAGATTCTTCATTTTTTCAATTTTAATACTTTTTATATGTGCTTTGTTTTTTACTGTAATAAAGTAGGATCTTTCAAACAGTTTACTGTATAATAATATTAGTACATAATATACTAGTATAATAATATTGCTGTTGTACAATATGCTATGACCTTTCATTGTATAATAAATTATATAATAACCAATATTACATGACCTTCCACTGTATAACAAGTTATATGTATAATAACTAATGTAATATGATTTTTCATTGCATAACGTTACTAGAAATTGAATTGGGAATCAGACTACTTTCGCAAGAAGCGTTGGGATCCCCTACCAGAGTCCGAACGATATTTGCCACTGGAAGAAGGAATCAGACAAGTGAGCCAAGGTATTTTAGCATACCACACCGATCCAAATACTGCGTACCCTTACGTGGAAAGAATGTTCGATTCCAATAAAATCTGCGAATTAACGGAGATACATTTGTTCAAACAATCCGTGATGGGGATGTATGCTAGCCACAATGGACAGTTCATTGAAATAGCCAAAATAGGGTAAGCATTCTCTCTTCACAGTCCTCTCTCTACTTTACAATTTAATATTAAATTAATACCATAAGTTAGAATAATTTTGACCTTGTCAATTCTTTTTTTTTGTTTCAGATTGACAAAGATGTTCAACACCGGTCTTCGTAATCGACAAATCAAACATTGGTCATCGAGAAAGCCACAGTGTCAACCTGATACTCTCTCTACCAGAAGTATCACTATTTACGAAACAGCACCAGCTTTAATTTTACTAGCCTTTGGTATAGTTGTGGCTGGAACGATTTGCATCGTGGAGAACATTATTTTTAATCGCTCAATGAGGTCATCTTTCATTTAAAAATATTGAATATTAAAATCACATTGTCGATAAAAATTTCATACTTTATATACATTATTATATATTTGATAGGGGAATGGATAGCAATCGAAAGAAGAGGATTGGAACGAGAGGAAGCATCGTCAGTGGAAACAGCAGGGACAACCTTCTAGATCTTAATCTTTAATACCCGTATCATTGCTTCTTAGGAAAAACTCAATAGATTATTAATTAGATAAGAATTTTCATTATTACATGCTTTTTACTAGACTCTGATTTTGAAATTTACTATAACCCCTATTTTGTTAAACCAGTGAAACAGAAATATTTTCTTCCGTCAAATTTTCTGCTTGCATATAATAATTCAAATAATAATATTAGTATGTCCCAACCAAAACCTGCCCTATCAAATGAAATAATTTTCATATAAAATACTTTAGCGCATTTTCAATATGTTTCACAAATACCGACCAACAAAGTTACACATCTAGTTTGTATGTAAACCATGAATTTCTTGTTTGAAATGTTGTTTCTTGTCCCAAAGAGCCGATACGTCAAAACTGACATGCCTTCTCATACAAGATTTAGGAAGGGATGACTTCGCTGGCTGATTGTTGTAGCACGAACGTTCTGCATGCAGTCGTTCGATTTGCAGTTCAGAATAAAGTGCAACGATAGTACCTGCTACAAATGCAGTTCCGAAGTTTCTTTTATTTACAATTAATCGTTGCGTCTAATGCGAACACGGTTCATCTGATTCGTGATTATTTCTTTTTCAAAGATGTCTCCAGGCTTGTTGGATTTTCTTGTTTTAATGTAGATGAGTATGAAATCACCAGAATTTTCAACGATGCCGGAATCGCAGTCTCCATAAAGCAACTTCAACCGAACATCGACATCCCGCGATTTTTACATACTGATTATTGGACTTTAGGGGTGTTTTTAGATCTACGATGCAACTTCACGGATGAAAATATTAAGAAACTTTTCAGAGAGGTATAATTAGAATACCAAGTTTATATTGGAACCATCTATTTTATTATATTAAAAGGAATGATGAAGCAAGAATTATGATTCAGGCTTCAGAGAATTATATGTTCGAACACCTGCATCAGTGGTTGATTCTGTCGGAAAATATAAATCGTACGGTTCAATTATTTAACGAAACCACGTTCAGCATCGTTATGGATGTTATAATTTCTGTGTCGGAAAATGAGAATTATGTTCTTTATGATGTGTACAATCATTGTAAACATTGTGGTGGTTTACTGAACATCACTACGTTCGGCAGCTGGAGTCTTGAGAACGGATTAGAAATTAATTTGATAGATAATAAGTTTAAAAGAAGGTGGAACTATTTTGGAATGAATGTTAAAGTTATTGGCGTCGTGAGTATTTTATAGGAAATTAAGGAGCATTTTGAACATTTGTATTTTTTACGTAGGTAACTAACAGATCTAAAGATCAAGATCTGATAGAATATCTTCAAGAAAAGAAAGGCAACCTTCTGGACAATTGGTCGAAATTTGGATATTCACTCATAGTACACATTGCCGAGATGTTCAATTTCACGTAATGTATTACTAGTGATAAGAAAATGTGATAAATAAATAAAGGAAATTTAGACTCTTTTCTGCAGAAATAAGTGACAATTATTTCTTATTGAAAATTGGGATCACTGCGACTCTTTTATTTCAAGGAAGGGTTAATTCTTACGCTTGGTAATTCTAACGCGTGGTAACTCGACGCGTCGCTATTCTAACGCGTTGTAATTCAACGCGTAGCAATTCTAACGCGTGGTAATTCGACGCAGAGCAATTCTTACGCGTGGTAATTCGACGCAGAGCAATTCTTACGCGCGGTAATTTGACGCTTAGCAATTCTAACGCGTGGTAATTTGACGCGTAGCAATTCTAACGCGTGGTAATTCCAACGCGTGGAATTAACACTACCAAATTTTATGTAGCGCTTAATTCTGCTTAAAATGTTTAAAGTTAAAATTATCTAAGTTTAGTCGAATTGTTGTCTAAGACCGATTGACCAGGTTCTACAAATCTAGAATTAAAATTACTTTTCTAGCTTGGAAGTCTCAGCAATAGACCACTGGGAGAAAGGTAATAAAATTGGACCCTTAGTCACTAGTCTTAACAAACGACTTTACGATCTAGGATACTACCCATCAATTTTGACTCTTGAAAGAATGAATAACGCAGATGTAATTACACAAGTTTGGCCTCTGAGGTAACCCTCGCAAAGTATTTAATGTACTATATCGTATCAAAGCAGTGAGTAACTTTATAAATGAATGCTCTCTATAAAAGCAATGACTTACAATACATTTATGGCATCACTTTATATATTAAACTTTCAATATTCCCAAACTGATCATTTGATACGACATATTACAGGTAACATTTAATATACAATTAAATTTAAAATTACAATATTTTTTACAGAACCTGTTTCATGTTTCTCACTGTACCATCATCGAAGATGGATATAAACATAATTTTTAGACCGTTTTCAACAAATGTTTGGTACATGATATTGTTACTATCGTTCATTATAATTTTCGCATTATGGTTGATCTTGAAAGTAGAAAACAATTCTGATTATGGAGCGACAGTTCTCATTATTGTTGCCGCACTATGTCAACAAGGTATTCTTTAAGAAATTTATTTCACAGTTTTAATATAATAAATTCCAATTTTCCAGGGCTGCCATTTAATGATAGCAGTAAATATGCAGGTCGTGTTGCTTTTCTTCACACTTTGATCTTCGGCTTACTCCTGTATAATTATTACTCGGCGGCAGTAGTATCAGCCCGGTTGAATGCGCCTTTAAACAAAATGAATGATTCATTGTACTCGTTAATGCATAGTAAAATGAAGCTTACAGCTTATAAGGATATCTACTTCAATTACTTATTTCGAGTGAATATTTTTCTGTACTTTGTTTAATTTGTTATTTTTTTTTAAGAAACTCATTTATAGGCTCCTGTAACGGAGGTACAGCTTTTTAAAAAATACTGGGACAAGATACCAGAGAATGAGAAGTTTGAATCGATAGAGAAGGGTGTAAGAGAAATTATGAAGCCTGGACATGCTTATCATATAGACCCTGTTCTGGCTTATCCACTCATTGAAGTTATGTTCACTAAACAGATGATTTGCCAGCTGACCGAAGTACATTTATTTCGACCTAGTACGATAGGTTTGTGGTCATCGCAACATGGTCAATTTCTAGAGATAACGAAGATTGGGTGAGTTTGTTAAATTCTTAAAATTACAATTAATGAGATTAATGAATAATTTATTTCAGTCTTATTAGAATGTATACTGCGGGCATCAGAAAGCGACAGGTACTACGTTGGACAGCTAAAAGACCTTATTGTGATAAGGAAAAACCCTATGTTTCAAGTGTTACGATTCATGAAACAATACCGATATTACTTATTTTACTTTTTGGAATTACCCTGTCTATTATAATCTGTTTTATTGAGAACATTACTTTTCGCACGTTGCAAACTAAGCAGTGGAAAAGAAAATCTGAACAGGTTCGACGAAAAAGTATGACACTTAAAAATAAAATTGTACTAAGAAAAAGCTCTGATAAAAAAAATGTAATATTACAAAGTTAAACAAAGTAACAATTTCAATTTCGTGAACCTTTCCGTACATATAAATTAATTTTATTAAATAAAGTATATCGATTACATTAGTTAAGAAAATACCATATAGTACTGATATACTTTCAAGGTGTATACACTGAAATAAAGAATGGACAATGGGCCTTTATTGTATACAATTTTTTGCAGCTTCTTGATGATGAAATGTGTATACCTAAGTTAGCAATTAATTTATTTCTTCTTTTTCGACTTTTTATCAGTCGGAGCTGGAGATGTCCCAGTGAGATCGGCTAACTGCTTTTTAAACGTTAATAACTTTTCCACTTCAGGTTGCCACACCGACTTCTGCTCTTTAGCTTTCAATTCGCGTACAAGGTTGCCCTAAACAAACAAAGATAAACATACATATCTAAATAACAGTAACGTTGATATAAATAATATGCTGCAGAAATGTCATTTCATCGAACCTGCTTAGCGATGGCTGATTCCAAACTTGCCACATCCGTCAAAGCATCTCCATTCTGTTCAGGTACAAATACCACCTCAGGTTTCTTATTTTTTGGTTGTGACTCGGTAGATTTACTTTCCTTTTCTCCACTGATGAGATTAGTAAGTTTTTTCTTCAAATTTAAAAGAATTTGCACTTCAGGTTGCCAAATAGTTTTATCGTGTTTTGCTTTTAATTCTCTGACCTTATTACCCTGGATAGACAAGATACATACATTGTATAATGAATTTTAGTATATTATATTGTTATAAAGATAATTTGCTAACCTGTTCTGCAATTGCAGCTTCTAAAGATTTCACGTCGTTATTATTATTCTTTTGTGTGTTGTTTTGAGACTCTTGCTTTCCAGCATATTTCTGCCGCAATGCTTCTACGTCTTTATCCTCTATCTTTTTAAACAGAGGAGATGGTTTACCGATTTTATGTCCCGCCGGAAGTATGTTTGTGATAATATCAGGAATGTAACCATAATTGCTGGCATCCAATCCTAATTGAGTTCTTAATTCGCGAGCAGCGTTAGGCATAAACGGAGCCAAAAGAGCTGATAAGAGACACGCTAAATTGCAGCAAATACCAATGATTGTTCCGGCTCTTTTCCTACAAACAGTAAAAACAGGCTAAGCGTTAGGTTAGATTTAATTTTTAACCGACATCGCCATTTTACTTCTATTAAACGAACGTTAGTCATAAGTACTGTAACACAGACCTGTAACATAATTTAATACATGAAAGTTGATTAACAGTCACAGTTAGTTTACAGGACTTATCTTACAGCATAAAATTAAGTCACGTAACACCATTCCTCACTGAACAACGGAACCTAGGAAATAAAGATATTCTAATCTCTAATGTAACAAAATTATTTGTGAATGTTAAATTTAGCACTGATAATCAATCGATGGAACTATGAAAATAATTAAATGAAATACTCAAAAACTTGAAAACAAGCTTTTAAAGAAAAATGATAATACCACTTTTAACGTTAATTATATAGCGAAACTTATACCTACTTATCACTATCGGTTCCTTTAATTTTGACCCATGGTTCTTGGAATTGCATGTACTGATTTCCGTGTTTTGAAATTGCTAAAACGTGTTTTAAACCATCGCGTAATTTAGCTTGTTCTAAAGCGTGTATGTACGAAGACAATTCGCGTTGTGCCAATACTAATAATATTAAATCCTCTTCTTGAAGTGTCATTGGTGGTATGTAAGATTCAAAGTATTTTTCAGCGAACACTAAGGCTCTAAAAATTTTCGATGATAATAATAAAAAAAGGAAGAAATAATTTGTATCATTTATACAATTCGTCGTCTTAATAAATCACATACCTGTTAACAAAGTTTCCAAAATTATTTAATAATTCATTGTTATTTTTGCATGCTAAATCTATCCAGTTGAAATTGGAATCTTGAGTTTCTGGTCTAACATATGCAAGATAAAATCGCCAAACATCGGCGGGTATACCAGTTTCTCTAGCATCGTTTCCAAAGACACCAATGCCTCTTGATTTTGAAAACTTTGTATCTTCGTAATTCAAGTATTCTATACAAGTCGATTATTGACAGTTAACGACATGTATTAAAAGAAATGTGTAACGCGGTTTGTATTAACATGTTGAAGTTCATACCAGTTGCCATTAAATGCTTCATTAAAATGTAACCATCATTAGCTGCTAATAAATAAGCAGGAAACATGATAGCATGGAATGGAACATTGTCTTTTGCCATGAATTGATATAAATCAACTGCAACATCTTTAGGTTTCCACCACTGTTCATATTCCTTAGTATATCTCTTTGTAATACTGATATATCCAAAGGGTGCATCGAACCAAACATAAAACACTTTGTTTTCAAAACCTTTTACTGGAACAGGTATTCCCCACTTCAAGTCTCTTGTGATACATCGAGGCTTAAGCCCATCGCGTAACCATGGTTTCGCGACGACTCTTGCAACACTAGACCACCCTTTTTCCACCGTGGGAGACCACTCTTTTAACTTACTTTCTAACTGTAACACATAATATTCTGTTTAACCAAATTTAATAATTAACATGGTACTCTTGCATGAGACAATAAAAATATTTACCTTAGGTAAATCTAGGAAGAACTGTTCCGATTTCTTAACGACAGGTCTATTATTACACACTTTACATCGCGGTGATATTAAATCTGTTGCATTCACTAAATGACCACATCCATCACACTGATCACCGCGTGCATCTTCATATTTACATCGCGGACATATTCCTTCCACAAATCTATCTGCTAAAAATCTATTACACGACTCGCAAAGAAGTTGATCTACCGTTTCACTTAATATATACCCTTGCGATTTTATTTTTAAGAAAAATGATTGCACGATTCTAAAAAATGATAGTATATATTACGTTTGCATAATATTAAAATCATTCTTTTGGCAGAAATGATTAACTAATAATTCAACCTATAATGCAAAAGCAATAAAACCTTAAAGAATTACATTCTATAATGCAGGTAATACGAGATCCATCTTACTCTGTTTGTTCAGGCGTTGTAGTGCGACCGAAATAGTCAAATCCTATGCTGAACCATCGATAAATGTCATTATGTATATCAAAAAATTTGTCACAAATGGCTTGAGGAGTTGTTTTCTCTTCTAAAGCTTTAGCTTCTGTAGCAGTACCATATTCATCAGTTCCACTAAAATATCAATTCACTTTTATTGTAATTTATAATATTTAAAAATTGAAATATAATATATATGAAACAGTTCCATACCAAATGAAAAGGGTATTATAATTTCTTTGTCTACAGTATCTGTAAATAAAATACATATAACATTAGAATATGTTTGTATAATAACAACAGAAATTAAGACACAAACCTAGCAAAAATATCAGCAGAAAGTACACAACCAATAATATTTCCTAAGTGAGGAACATTATTAACATAAGGTAACGCAGATGTTATTAAAATATTTCTTTCACCTTTCTTTGGCAACCTGAAATTAATATATACACATTTATATTAATTATACATTTGTTCTACATTTTCAAACACAAACATTTATGTACATTTAAGCTTACACAGGATAGGGAGAATTTTTCATATCTGGATATGACTTAGAAGACCAATTACTTGCAATATTGTGTATCTCTTCTTGACTAACTGCTTCCATTTCTTTTTCCTTAGTAGGACTAACCTGAAGTTATTAATTCCGAATTTTTGTATGACTTCACTATGTAATAATATGCTAAAAATGTTGATATAATAAACTTACATCACTTGGTAATGGTTTAGTTGACTGTGAGTTTAATGAACTAATAACAGGAAACCAAGATGCAGCTTGAATACTAAGAATTGCTTTTACACCTCTTTCAAATTTGTATTCTTTAATAGAATCCTAAGTACATAAAATATTATATTATTTAAAATATTAAAACAAGTATCAGATATAGAGGGAAATAATAGAAGACAGTTTTACCTGAATAATTGGCAGTAATTCAATATTGATTAACCAATTTTTAAGACATACATATTCTTTAGATAATTCTTTTTCAATTTCTGTAACTAATACAGTAGACCACACAGTTACCCAAATGCAAGTATCTGCCAATGACAAATCATTTTGATCCTAAGATATTCATAACAAAATTTTAGTTCTATCTTAATTTTATGTTAATGGTTTTATGTTTTCATTCCAAATTACCTTAATTAAGTACTTTTTTTCTTTTAATTCCTTGTCAAGTTCTCCCAACAGAGACCATAAACATGATTTACTTGTAGTTTTATAAGTTCCTGTGTTACCATACAGCACTACAGCTGGCTGTGTAATAAATTTTTATGTTTATAAATTTTAATTAATTATATCATTATATGTATCATTTATTTCTGTTTACCTGCAACTTAGAAATATCCCATTCCAACCACTTATTAATAAGAATGTTTGAATCTTTAGATGGAGGTACTAAAAGCTGCAACGCTGCATTAGTGCTAAATAACACTAATCCAGATGGTAGTTCAACAGTAGGTAAACGACCCAAAAAGCTCGCTGTGTGTAGAATAAAAAACAAAATATAAATAATATAAAGTTTGTAAAACAACAAGAATTTTATCAGCATCTAATTGATAATTAGTGAAATGACAATTATTTTATGAATTAAGATAAATTTATTGATATATGAAGAATATTTATAAAAATCTAAATCCATACTTTTATCAGTATTATTTCAAGGATAACGCATGAATTATAACTAACTGTAAATAACATTTGTATTGGATATTAATATGCGAATAACAAATTGATACATACAAATATTGATTTAAAGATAAAACTTTACATGTTTCATATATCTGAAAACTAAAAATCATCAAAATGAAACTGTTTTCTGATATTTCATCATTTTGGTTATAAAAGGACTTCACGATTTAGGTTAAGTACTGTACCTTTGGGTTGTACTGTCTTAACAGTAACAGACTGTTGGGCTATTTTAGCTGCAATTATTAATTTTAACGCGTTTGGGTTATCTTCGTTCGTTGAAATGATCATTTTTATTAATAAATTAATAAATATTCACAATAAATAAATGAAAATATGTTCAGCACACAACCAACACATGTGAGCGACAAGTAAATGCAGTCTGGAAACTGATGCCGTGGACTTCTGTATAGCAGATTGCCAATCTGTTCAACATCTTATAACAATTGAAAATTCAATATCAACTTTTCATTGATGATACTTATTTAACAATATTTAGTGTTGCAATTAGTTATAGAAAACATGCCCTATATTGTTTAATCAATTAATAAACGCATATAATATATGTAAGCATGAAATTTGACAGATACTGAATATCAGTTGGTAACTCTGTAGCGCCACAGATGTATTGCATTTACTTATCAAAGAAAATTTCCTAATTTTTTATTTCAACGTTCTCAATAAGCCAAAATGTCATTCATTATATTGTATTGAATCCTATATCACTGTATGTAGGTTATTATAATGTAAAAGTAGCCAATTTTTACACAGAAAGTTCTCTTACATTAGTTCCTTCTCTTACCACCAGATGATAGCAGGATGCTATTTTCGAAGCGCGTATTATTAAAAAGAGTAAAAAAATATGCCTAACTGTAATTTTGTCTATAAATGTTAAACGACATCACCATTCAGCTATAAAACATTAAATATTACGTACTTGAAGGATTTACGGATACACATTATGTTTCCTAAGATGATTATTTTACTATTTTATATGTGCATAAGTTGTATATCACTGTCATACAGTGCTGAAAATATAATATTAGTTCTTACTGATGATTTGGATATATTACTTGATGGAATGGTAAATATTAAAACAAAACATGAAGTTTGTAAAATGAAAATTTAAATAAATTTTTATTTTCAGACTCCTATGACAAATACATTAAATTTAATTGGGAAACAGGGTGCAACGTTTTCAAATTGTGTAAGTTTTTGAAAGTTGTGTTGTAATTGAATTTGTTATGTATAATTGATTTTAATTGAAGATATTTCTTTTAACAATTAGTTTGTTGCTACACCTGTCTGTTGTCCAAATAGAGCTTCAATATTAACTGGAAAGTATCAACATAATAATCTAGTATTAAATAATTCCATTAGTGGAGGCTGTAATGATGATAAATGGCAAAAAGTGCAAGAACCAAATACATTTGCAGCACATTTAAAAAGGGAGATGTCATATACAACTTTTTATGCAGGAAAATATTTAAATCAGGTGAATATCTACAATGTATTAGATTGACAAATGTAGTTAATTGTATCTAAGAAGGAATAAAATCATAAATAAATATAATTTGATGAATAATTTACAAAGTATGGACATCAAAAAGCGGGTGGACCTGCTCATGTACCAGTAGGATGGGATTGGTGGGCTGGTCTTGTTGGTAATTCAAGATACTATAATTATTCTATATCCATAAATGGAACTCGGAAGAAGTTTGGTAATGAACCGGCTGATTACCTTACAGATGTAATTGTAAGTGTAAAATCATAGTAACTGTTTTTGTTTTCCTAATTATTATGGTGCATGTACAATATTTAATTTCAGAATAATTTAGCAATGGAGTTCATTGGAACTCGTAATGCAAACAATCAACCATTTCTCATGGTTTTAGCACCACCTGCACCTCATGCACCTTTTACCCCAGCAACAAGACATATTGATAAATTTAAAGATGTGAAAGCCAAAAGAACGCCTAATTTTAATACACTAATACAATCAGTAAGTTACATCTTATTTGTAAAACTTAGCATTATATCCTGTTGTAACACTGCTGTAAAAAATAGGACAAACACTGGTTAGTACAACAAGGACCATCTCCACTACCCAATGACTTACTTCCCAAGTTGGATGACATATATAGAAGGAGATGGGAAACATTATTAGCTGTTGATGAACTTGTAACAAATATATATCAAGCTCTAAAATTCCAAAATCTTTTAAATAATACTTACATGATATTTACATCTGATAATGGATATCATATTGGTAATACAATTTATGACCAAATAACATGAGATAGACAAACGTACCATAAACGAAATACAGATGGTATTTATTGTATTCCATAGGTCAGTTTAGTCAGCCTATAGATAAACGTCAGCCGTACGAAACCGATATTAGAGTTCCATTGTTAATGCGGGGACCTGGAATTGTACCATCTAAGATTTCTGCACCTGTTAGTACCGTTGATTTGTTTGCTACGATTTTAGAAATAGCTGGTATTCAACGACCATCTGATGGAACATCCTTGTTAAAAAAAACCCTACCAAAAGATAGAACACTTTTGGTAGAATATAGAGGAGAACACGCTGATGACCCTCCTACAGGTTGTCCGACCGATAATGATCCAACGCTTGCAGTAAGTTTTACATAAATAGGAACAAAAATTATTACTGATGCGTATATATTAAATTTGTACCATTTATAGTTATGTTACAAGGATTTGGCATGCAAATGCCAAGATACTGTAAATAATACTTTTACTTGTATACGACGTCTCTCTCCGGAATTCAATAACATTTTCTGCGTTTTCGATGACGATAAGGTAACATTAAGGATAAATAAAATATTTTAACGATAAACGAAATTTGTACTAACATTTATCTTTACTGAACTAGCAATTCATTGAAGCATATAACATAACTACGGATAATTATCAAATGGAAAATATTGCGTACAGCATGAAACGCCAGCATAGACATAGATTCAGAAAGTATCTGAAACAGATGAGCACTTGTAAAGGGGAGGAATGTGTCGTTACAAATATGGAAAACGTGTACATTTAGTACCCGATCTTGAAGAAAGAAGATGAAATATATAAATACTATTTTTATATTCCAAACTATGTATTATAAAGTGACATCTACTTATAATTTTTATATACGTTAAGATGTACTGTTAAAATGTGTTGACATAAAATAAAGAAAATTTATACTTAACTGGTTACTTGCATCGGCTTATTATACATTTCTATTTATGAAGATATAAATATTACAAACCATTAAAAGTTAGGAACGCCGGGGGTCGTATTATTTCGAATTACTGCATTTATGGAAATCGTGGGCGAGGAATACGCCGCGAATCTGGATATAAGAATAACTCGTCTTGCTTCCCAACTACCTCGGGCGAACTGTTTTCTTAGCAAATATTTTTATTAAAGCCCCGCTGTTCGAATATCTGAATAGCAATCGCGCCATTCTGGGGTAGAGAAGAAGAAAAACCGAACGAGGATAGAAGGTAGATATATGCTTTTATCATGTCCATAAATTTAATCTATTAAAACGTTTTGAATCGTTTAAGGATTTTTCAACTAACAATATCACAAAATTATTAACCGATTTAATATTCGAGCAATAAAATGTAGCGTACATATTATACTTTAGAAGATATAAATTATTTTATCAATGTCGAGAGAAATAAAATGAAAAACGAATGTTCAGAAATATCAAGATATATCGAATTCTCTCGAAGTAAAACGACGGAACGATGAGGGCAACTACAAAGTGCCCCGATTCATTCCTTTCAGTGGCAAGCACCGTAAGAAACATCCTTTCATGTTGCATAAAAGAACGTCGAAATGTTTGTACACTCCACGTTAACCGCTCTATAGGCTGTTTAATCGTTTGCACAGATGGTATTGGGGGGTAGCATCATTCTCAATATTGTATAAAAATGCATGCAAATTAGAAACGATTATCATGGTCGCATATTTTGTGAGGCTACTGGTCCAAATAACAAGCATCTATAAATCAGAAAATTAAGTGGTGCGTTCTAAAAAATATAACAAATACTATCATAATCTATGCTCTATTGCAGCAAATAATTCCTCAATGACACTGCTGATTGCCAAGAATTAAATTTGACAAGTAGCTACGAATATTAAAAGGTGCAATGGTAAAAGTTGAGGATTTACACACAGAGAAATTCATAAGACCAGTTATGGTGCGGTGCATTTCTCCCGAAAAGAAGCACAGCTGAAAATGCGGTATTCAAAAGAAGTTTGCGGGTGTTTCGGTAAACAGCATGAATCCCGGCTCGATCGATCGGGTGGAGAATTAACAGACCTCGGCTCGAATTGTGAAGTCGTTACATCGTCACTGAGACGTATAAGTCGGCTTGCGAAAAGTCCTTTTTTTTCCTCTCTCTTCATTGATCGCCGGAGCGAGTGATCGCTTCTCTGTGCATTAGGATCAATGGCTTTCGTTGGCTTCCGAGTTTTGGAATCTTGCTTTCCTGCCCCCCGGGGATCTACGGTTCTTTTCAATTTTTACCGACTTGTACTGCTAAAAGAATTATTTGAGAAATTGAAAATTTTAGAAATGAAGGAGATGGGAATTTTACGAGTTGGACATTTAGGGACTTGGGGGTTTAAAAATTTGGAAATTTGCAAAGTTAGAAATTTAGAGATCTGGAGATTCGAGAGGTTGCAAACTTGTGGATTTACGAATTTGAGGATTTAGGTACTAGGACTTATGCAAACTTAAAAATTTGTCAAATCGTAAAACTTGGAATGTTCAGAATATTTAATTCAGAGATATAAAAATTGAAGAACAATTTACATTGCCAATAGTCCACCAGTTTCAAATATATTTTCTTTCCACTCGATTGTTGGTTTTCCGATCGCTTTATTCTTCCCAGTGAACCCTAATATGGAAAGCGTAAATTTGCATCAGACACTTTACTGAATCAGAAAATGAGTTATAAACTTCCTCCGCTGAACTTCGTCGCAACTCTTCGTGGAATCCTCATTAAGATTCGAGAGTTAAATTCAGCACGCTTGGAAGGATATTGTATTAGTTCTTTGTAAGCAAGAATCCTCCATATCAACTTAGCCATTGTTTGAGAAACCGTAATCGATTCTAACATAACGAATGCAGAATTCGACATATTTTGCTTCGTCGAAAAATAAGTTGTTTCAATCAATTAATAAAAAAAAAGAAGCTGCAGGAAACGAGGAGTGTCAGTATCCCTAATTGAAGATAATTTCAAAAGTATAGAGTTTCAGTATCGATAATAATAAAAGCACGGGGGCAACGGGGAGCGATTCGCATTACGGGGCCGCTTATCCGGACAACAGTAGTCAAATCAAACACGAGGCTATTAACTAGGTCAACATTTCGGGTTTGGGGTACTTAGCCCCGTCTGCTTGGTACCTTCGTCAGTGAGCCACACAATGTATATGTATTTGCACGTACACGGAGCACGAATTCCACGGTGAACAAGAGCAAAGCAACCGTGTCGGACGGTCTTAAATAAATATCTAATGTGTAGGGGTCGCGCGGACCCCTATTGCCCCCGCCAATATTGTTTTAGGCACGGCCCTTGGCTAGCGAAGTTTTGTAACTCGAGAAACGAGCGCCACTCGTGTGCCCAACGGACAAGATAGGTGTCGGAAGATCTAGTCGAGTACTTAAGTTCTGAAGATATCCTGTCTGCACTTTTGTTCCTGTATCCTTTTTATGGACCATACATCTGCCAAGCGATTACTCTTCGTAACACGTCGATTCCTTTAGAATATGCATTCCGATATTCCTTTGAATAATTTCAAAATGTTTGCAAAGTTAGTGTTCATTCACAAAGTTAATTTTCATGATTAGCATCTATCATGAACCTTCCCAAATTCCCATCTCTTCAAATTCCCATCTTTCCAAATTTCCAGCTTCCCAAATTCCCATCTTCCCAAATTCCCATCTCTCCAAATTCCCATCTTCCCAAATTTCTACCTTCCCAAATTCCCACCTCCCTAAATTCCCACCTTCCCTAATTCTCATCTCTTCAAATTCCCATTTCCCAAATTCCCACCTTTCCAGATCTCCATTTCTCCAAATTCCCATCTTCCTAAATTTCCACCTTCCCAAATTCCAACCTTCCCAAATTCCCATCTTTCCTAATTTCCACCTTCCCAAATTCCCATCTTCCCAAATTCCCATCTCTCCAAATTCCCATCTTCCCAAATTCCCGCCTTCCCAAATTCCCATCTTTCCAAATTTCCATCTTCTCAAATTCCCACCTTCCCAAATTCCCATCTTCCCAAATTCCCACCTTGCCAAATTCCCATTTCTCCAAATTCCCATCTTCCTAAATTTCCACCTTCCCAAATTCCCATCTTCCCAAATTGCCACCTTCCCAATTTTCCCCCTTCCCAAATTCCCACCTTCCCAAATTTCCACCTTCCCAAATTCCCATCTTCCCAAATTCCCATCTTCCCAAATTCCCACCTTCCCAAATTCCCATCTTTCCAAACTCCCATCTTCCCAAATTCCCACCTTCCCAAATTCCCACCTTCCCAAATTCCCACCTTTCCAAATTCCCATCTTTCCTAATTTCCACCTTCCTAAATTCCCATCTTAGTTTCTTTTATACTTAACCCCTTGCATTATGGCTTATTTGTCAAGTGCGTCAGTCAGAACTGACTAATTACAGCTACAATATCAACACAGACAGAGGAATTTGAAATGTTATGTCAGTATATTATTATGCAATCGTTGACTATGCAAATTATAATTGGACTTCAACTTCAAATTGAAGCCTACTAAAAATTCGAGTAAAATTAATCACGGCCGAACTATGAGTACGTCACGAGTCTGACTCGTCAAAATAGTGAAGGGGTTAAATGAGACTCGTGATAGATTTATATCTAAGCACACCTCAAACAAAGCCTTATACAACCACCCCTTTTTGGTTCTTACAGTAGTTATCAGACACCCTGTACAATGAAAAGTGATGCATACACATACATGACTACAAGTCATCAAGTCGTCAAAGTTGTCAAAATGTTAGTAATCGAAATACACCCTACACGAGTCCTTCAATTAATTAGTAAATGTAGAATATTAAAGGAAAAGGTTCATGTTTAAAGATGGTTTAAGATTAAAAGAAGGAAGTCTACATGTGACAAAGAAATTCAGGAAGAGATACGGAGTTTCTTGGAAATGGTGTTATAATAAGAGTCGGTTCTCGAATGGGTTAATAAATACATCATACATACCAATTCGCCGTGTCTCCTTAACGTTTCTCCATCGCGATGTAAGGTTTGCTTCCGCCGGTATTTGTCACAGAAATAATTAATTAACGGCAGAAAGTTTCTCCTACTCTTTCCCTCGCTTTTTCTAACCGTGGCCCTCTTTCCGCTGTTCCGACCGGCTCATAACTGCGCTCGACCGGTTGCTGAACCCCTTTTGCTCGTGCAACCCTTATTATCGTGTCGCAGCTCGGTTAGCGCGAGCGGGTTAATGAAAAGCTCGAGCAAATATAGAATTTCTCGTAAAAACTACAAATTACTGCTGCGTCGGGTGCATAGCTGCGTGCAACACACCTCGTCCCCGTTCTCTTTTCTTTGCCATCTCTTTTTCCTCTCTAACCCCTACTCCCGCCCTCGTAAAATTATATAACTGTATAATACGCGAGAAACAGGAAATAATAAAAACGTTCCTGGCCGTGCTTCGAAGATCGTGGCAGGATTTTATGACGGGGAATTCACGGAAGCGCGTGCGAGATGAAAAACGCATTCGAACATGTCTGGACGCGGAAAAAGAATAAAACGGGATGTTAGTTAAGTTTTTAATTTCGCAAGAATCGTGCTACCTCTACCGTGAACGTTTCATGAAATAAAATGTACTGGTGTAACTGTACTCGGGTAACCATTGGATAAGGGTTGTAAGTTGGTTTCGAATTTGAGAGATCAAGGGTGTATATGGAAGTTTGTATAAAATTTTTAAGGGCCTAAATTTTTATGTCTGTAGTACTTAAATGATCGAGTGTTCACATTTTTTTATTAATCTTATTCCTGAATTTTTTAATCTTTAAATTTCTAAATTCTTGAAGTAAGAAGTTATCGAATTTCCAAATTCTTAGTTTTTTAAGTTTCTGAGTTGCCAAATTCCAAAATTCTCAACTTCCCAAATTCCTAAGTCCTCTAATTCTCAAATGTTCAAATCTA